AATGATAGGAAATCAAGGAAAATAAACACATAAAGGTTCGCCCCTCGGGCAGAGTATCTACAAATCTGCCCCTCGGGCAATATCTAAGAACAATACCAGCTCTCGGGCTATATCTCACATCACAATGGGTAACCACACTCACTAGCGGTGTGCAGACTCCTGGAGGGGCCCCTTACGGTCCAAGTGAAATATCAAGCCATCTCGTATCATCATCACTAGGCCCTCGGCCTCATATCAACAAGCCACTTCATGGTGTACATATCTCAGGCCCTCGACCTCATAATCAATATCAAATATTTCCTCACAACATAGGCCCTCGGCCATACTCAGTCAAAATCCTCACAAGCCACTCGGGCAATATCATTTAAAAGATCATTTAAGTGTAAAATAGAGTAAACATGGTTAAGTACGAAATCAGTGAAATATTACATGACTGAGATCAAGTATAAAGTTAAAACAGTAAGGAAATATCGATAAAAATCCCCTAAGGGTTCAAATAGTTGGCACGAAGCCTAAATATGACATTCAACCCAAATAATGATGATAGCAAATAGATTTCAGTCAAATACGTGGCAAAATAGTCATTCAGGACGGACTAAGTCACAATTCCCAACAGTGCACGACCCCACGCTCATCATCTAGCGTGTGCGTCACAACAATATAGTACAACGATATGCAATCCGGGGTTTCATACCCTCAGAACATCATTTACAATCATTACTCACCTCAATCCGGTCAAATCTTTAGCCGCGACGCCTTCGCCCCTCGAATCGGCCTCCACCCGCGCCGAATCTATCCAAAATCAGAATCACGGCTTCAAAATATGCTAAGGGAACGAAGCTCAAGCGAAAATAATCAATTTACAACACAAATCCCGAAATTACCAAAATCCGACCCTCATGCCCACATCTCGGAATTTGATAATTTTTACATCAATGGATTCCTTATCTCCCCACGAGTTCATACATATCAAAAGTTCTGAAATCCAACCTCAAATGCTCCTCCAAATCCTCAATCAAAGGTATAAGTTTCCAAGCCCTAGTTTCCCCAAACTTTGATCCTTAAATTCCATAAATTACAAGCCTAATCCATGAAATAATACTATAGAAACAGGTTTTAGGTCCAAAATCCTTATCTCAATGAAGTTCCCCTGAAATCCCTCTTCAAAATCGTCCAAAATGCTCCAAAGCCGACTCAAAATGGTGAAATAGCTCAAAAATCGCGAAGGACACAATGTATAACTTCTGGCCCAGGCATTTTCACATCTGCGGCCAATATTCCGCTTCTGCGGTACCGCATTTTCAGTCCTTGAACCGCTTCTGCGGAAATCACTTAAACGGCTAACTTCGCATCTGCGGTCAACACTCCGCACCTGCGCCTTCGCAGGTGCGGTCCCACAACCGTATTTGCAGTTCCTGCCATCTTCCCAGCTTCTGCTTCTTTGGCCCCTCTCCCGCATATGCGGCGTCACACCTGCGATCCCCAATCCGCAGGTGCGGAGATACCAGAAGCAGCAAAAATCTGAAATCTCACAAAGTCTCAAACTCCTCCGTCAACCATCCGAAATCACCCCGAGGCCCCCAAGACCTCAACCAAAAGCACCAACATATCCCAACACCTTATTCAAACTTGTACCAATCTTCAAAATGCCTCAAACAACATCAAATCAAACAAAATCCATCGGATTCAAGCCTAAGTTCCCAAAATCTTCCAAATTTCGCATTTGATAAAAAACCCACCCAAAACACGTCTGAATGGCCTGAAATTTTATACACACATCTCAAATGACATAATGGAACTATTGCAACTCTTGGAATTCCATTCTGACCCCTATATCAAAATCTCACCTATCAACTGGAAAACGCCAAAAATCCAATTTCGCCAATTCAAGCCTAAATCTACTCCGGACCTCCAAAATACATTCTGATCACGCTCCTACATCCCAAATCACCTCCCGAAGCTATCCGAACCATCGGAACTCACATCCGAGCCCTCTAACATATAAGTCAACATTCGGCTCCAACTTAAGCTTCCTCAAAAGAGACTAAGTGTCTCAAACCTTACCAAATCCTTTTCGAACCCGAGCCAACCAACCCGATCACATATAGAACCGATAGACAAAGCAATAAGAAGCATAAATGGAGGAAATAAAGCGGTAACTCATGAGAAGACTGGCCGGGTCGTCACAGAATATGTTTTCTAAAATCATGTCATGTTGATCGGCCTAACATACCTAAGCATAATCCTGTTAATCTTATTTTTGTGCCAAAAATATTTTGTAAACATACGTATGTAACCTAAAATATTGTTAATCATTCTGTGATGAATAAACAAGAGGAAGACCATGAAAAAGGATGCATCTTAGAAGGTAGAAGTTGAGTTAAATTTAGGATAGTTTATGAGGTTTAAGATGAAATTTTCTGAAAGTCAGTTTTCAGACTTCTTTAGCCAATTTATACTTTTTTTCCTTCTCATTTCTTTGAATTTAGAGGAGTTTATTAAAGTAACTGCAGGTCGAAGGATGAAAACTGAAGCTAATCTCTGTTTATTTATTTTTTAATAGGTTATCCTCCGAGAAATGCATTTTAAAATATGTCTTATATCAAATAGAGTATGATTGTTGTTGAATTACTAATTCTCGAGTTTCATATATTTCTGGTCAGTTAAAATTGTGATATTGCTTTTGCTCATGATATTTTTGGCTTCTGGTGTAGTTTTACTTTTTAATAGGTGAAGTAAATTCATTATAAAGCAACAAGAAGTTACTATAAATTTACAAGTTCTATGGCTTCCAACATTATTCTCAATAAAACAGGAAATGACAATTGAGAGAAGAGTGCTACTTCTGAAAGAGTATAACTAAACTGTGACAGATTGCTGCCTTAATTTGTCTGTTGATACAATTCCACAACATTGAGCAGAGAGTTAAATTTGTGCATTAGCTACAATCCACTTTCTCCAATCTCCAGTTCACCTTAAAATCTGTTGCTTCACTTTGACACTAACTCTTTCCACGTTTCCTCTTTTAATTTCTGAAAGAAGTGTGGGTTTGGCAGCATGGTAGGGACAATTTATGTCTCTATGGTGCTTCACAGTTATGTTCTTTCCAATGCAGCGTCGCTCATAGACTCAACAACTGACCATACATTTTGAATTTAACGACGTCCTAAGATATGTGTCAATCAGTTTGATTGGAATTAACGCCCAATTTGACATTTCGAAATCTAAACTCTATGCTTTTTGATTGGCGGGGAAGAGAACCATCTGGAGGTTGGACCATCAACAGTTTCTATTAAATGCTACTATTTGGGAGATAACATTGAATCAACTTTTACTGTTTCTATTGATGAATGTAAATAACACATCATTTCTGTGATTGCACACATGAAATAGTATTATTCTCCTAGGTGCAGAAACCTCCACTATAAGCATCAAAATTATTTATAAACGCTACAGTAGTACCTGACAACTAAGGTCTGCTCTAATCTTTTTCTTTCTTCTGCACATTCCTATAAGCTAAGATGCTCCGGCTCATTTATCATCTCCTTTTTTCTCAAATGAGCAGCTTAGTTCAATTATTGAAAATGTTATTTTTATAAGTAGAACTCTATGGTGTGCAGGAAAACTGAAAATACAAAGGTAGTTAATCACTTCTACCCTTTTGTTCTTTTAACATAATCAGTTACATAGGTCCTTCCCCATTAACTGAAAATGTAAAGCAGTTAATTGGTTCTTACTTTTCTTCCTTGTACTAGACTGATTGAATTAAGCAAAGGAAGAACCTGGTTGCTGCAAAATAGGAAAAGTCATATGTTAGTTGCATGGCATGATATTTAATGTAAATTGTAGCAGTAGTAGGAGAACGTCATAGTATTTCTACTGTTTTTTTAAGTTTGAACTGAACGACGTCCTAAAATTTGTGTCAAGCAGTTTAATTGGAGTTAGCGTCGAATTTAACATTTTGAAATCTAAACTCTATGCTTCTTTGTTTGAGGGGAAGAGAACCATGTTTAGATTGTTTCATTAACTGTTTCTATTAAATGCTACTGTTTAGGAGATATCATTGGATCAGCTTTTACTGTGGCTGAATGTTGAATGTCATACATATTATATCTGTGACTGTTAAGGGGTCTTTGTTGAGACCTCAAGGAGATTATGGATTCAATGAATAAAGAAAAATGGCAAATAATCGTGCATCAGTTAAGGCCTATAACACCCTAGAACGTGTCTACGCTCAATAGCATATTGTGAAAGGATAGATTACAAAAGGAATTACAACTGGCATCCTGATAGGTGGAAAAAAGTAAGCAAATTTGGTATTGGTACAATCCATATTAACAAAAACTTGACCTAACCATCACCAGATAAATAGGAGATAACAATCATATATACGAATGAGCACATGAAATTTCAGAGTACTTGATAAATGAACTACAAGATCATACCAGCACCACACATTCTTTGAGTTATTATGATAAGAGATGATAATCTATGCTGCCAACTCAAGCTACTCAACTGACTAAGTAGGCATATGACAGTTAAAATAGTGAACTAACAAAGGTAGTCAAATAACAGGCCAAGAATTACTATCTAAACCAAAAAAGACGGGACAAGTTTGCCAAAGGATCATCTCGGACGTCGCTAGAATCAATAGATACATTTTATTTTTAAGTCCATGTGAGGTGAGATGCTCTTCGAATTCTTTATATACGCGATACCCTATCTCAACGACTGTCAATTTTTTTGATGTGTATCTAGCACTTTCATGCTTCTAGGTTTGTCTACAGTAATTTTCTTCTAAAATAGTGTTGTACTCGAGCCTGTTGTGGCTTCAGAAATTCTCGATAATGAATTAGACGATATCACAACAAAATAGAGTTTGTTTTGCTTCAGAGTCAGCAGACTGAGGGGTTGACAAGTAGCCGAACAAAATTTCACTTTACTTTTCTAAAAGACTCTATAACTTCTCGCGACAAATTCAGATTTTACGGCATGTTGACATGGAAGAACAGAAAAAACTTGTAAGAAAAAATCGAATATGCATACGGAAGCAAAAACAGCTTAAAATTTCCTCGGACGGTATGAACTTTTAACACTATATTCATCATGATTAATTTCACAGTTCTTTCAACAATTGGACGTAACTTCGGTCTCTTACTAAATCATTTTGTTCTACNATATATATATATGTATGTATGTATGTATGTATGTATATGTATTTTCTGATCCTTACACCATAGTAGTATCTTGTCCCTCTTCATATCTTAATGCATGTTTTAGCCATTAGGAACAAGTTATATGAGCAGGTCCTCCGCTTCATTTTGCTCATATTTATTATAATATATATCCCAGTAATTGAGTTGTCCATATTTTTTTAATAGAACTTATATGCTTTCCATATAATTTGCTATTTTATAGGTTTTGTGTTGTAATCCATGCAGTATTTATATGATTTTAGTTCTGTTATTCTGTTCTCATTGTGATTTACATTGGCAGATGCTAAGCGGTTTACTGGAAGAAGGTTTAGTGATGCATCTGTACAGGGTGACATGAAATTGTGGCCTATTAAGGGTTTTCCAGAATCCGGTGATAAGCCAATGATTGTTGTAAACTACAAGAGTGAATAAAAGCAGTTTGCTGCTGCAGAAATCTCTTTTATGGTGCTGACAAAGATGAAGAAAATTACTGAGACCTACCTTGGATCAACTGTCAAGAATGTCGTGGTGAATGTGACTGCATACTTCAATGATTCGCAGCATCAAGCTAATAAGGATGCTGGTATTATTTCTAGGCTGAATGTTAATGAGTATTATTACTTAGCTTATAGGTGCTGCCACACTGCCTATGGTTTGGACAAGAAAACTTCTAGGTCCTTTTCTCACTACCTATTTTATAAATGATTAAATCTATTTCCATATGACTTGGATGTATTAATATCCAATGCATTTATATGTTCATAATATTATAGCATTTATATGTTCCATTCCGTCTACCGTATTTTCTAAATAATATTTTCTTTTCAAATGTTATATTTTACATTCTTCGCGCAACAGCGGGTACAAATACTAGTTAGAAGAAAGAGGAGGGCTAGGGAACGCCTGGAAATATGTACAGAGCTTACACTAAAATGGAGTAACTAACACTCTTAAGGGTGATGGAAGTTTGGATTATTGTCCAAGAGGGAAAATGGGAGAGAGGCGGCTAGGAGAAAATGAGATTAAAAACCCTAGAGTGAGTTTGTGTTTTAGGGATTAAGAGGGCTGATTAGGCTAGAAAATGGGGGAGAAATTCAAAAATAGTCAGATTTACAACTGGTCATTGAAAAATAGCCATAGTTTTAAAAGACATCGAAATTTAGCCACTTTTCATGTAAAAATAAATCTGAACGAAAACGCTGTTCAAAATTTGGAAAATACTCCAGCATAATATATTGGAATTCCAGTATAATATACTAGAACTCCACTATAATATATTGGAGGTCCAGTATACTTTGCTGTAATATACTGGAGTTCCAACAAAGTATACTGGAACTCCAGTATATTATTCTGGAACCAGCAAAGTATACCGGTCCAGCATAATATGTTGGAAGTTCATATACAGGTGCACCGAACTACAGTATATTGTGCTGGACCGGTCTTTGTTGCAGCAAAATAATGGCTATTTTTCTATGACTTGGCAAACGCTAGCTATTTCTGAATGACCAATCCGAAAATTGGTTAGCCCGTGCTATTTTAGCAGAAAATGGGTATGGTTTTTAGCTGCTGAAAGAGTTGGATACCGATTGGGTTGGATCTGAAGGCTTTGTTTGGGCCGAAAATCATGGCCTTTTCCTTCTTCAAATTAATTTAATTTGGGCTTCCTTATCTTAATAATTTGGGCATACTAATTATATAAATAGACATTTAGATTAATAAAAGTAAATTAATTTATATGAAATAAAGATAATACTAATACTAATAATAATAATAATAATAATAATAATAATAATAATAATAATAATAGTGGTGGTGGTAGTAGTTGTAATATCATTAATAATACTAGTAATAATGATATTAAAGAAATGATTATTGGATTTCTTNTGCGAGGATTGTAAGGTAATCCCGAGTGAGACCCTCGCGACTCAACATAGGCTCCTGGTGATAGATGTTGGTATCGTGATAAAGAAGAAGAAGAGGTTTGTACGGGGTCAACCTAGGATTAGGAGGGGTGCTTTGGCTAAGGATAATGCACATAAGTTGGAGGGGCGGCTGTTGGCTATGGGTGCCTGGAAGAGTAGTAGGGATGGAAGCGCTATGTGGACGACGACGACGAACTGTATTATGAAGGCGACAAGAGAGGTGTTAGGGGTATCTAAGGGCTACTATGGCGGGCACCAAGGCAACTGGTGGTGGAATAATGTGGTCCAAGGTAAAGTGGAAGCAAAGAAATTGGCGTACCTTGCGTTAGTGGAGAGTACCGATGAGGATCAGAGGAGAACAAACAGAGTGAGGTATAAGGAAGCTAGGAAAGAGGCAAAATTAGCGGTCACAGATGCTAAGACTATTGCGTTTGATCGTTTGTATGAGGAACTGGGGGGCAAAAGTGGGGACAATAAGCTATTTTGGCTGGCTAAAGCGAGAGAGAGGAAGGCTCATGACCTGGATCAAGTGAGGTGCATCAAATACGAGGAAGGCAGAGTATTGACGAAAAACTCCCAGATTAAGCATAAATGGCAGACGTACTTTCATAAATTTCTCAATGAAGAGGGGAGCAGTAGCATCATGCTAGGGGAGTGGGGACACTCCGAGAGTCACCATGACTTTACGTACTATAGGCGTATCAAGGTTGAGGAGGTAGTGAAAGCTATGGGTAAGATGAGTCGGGGCAAACCGACAGGACCAGACGAGATTCCAGTAGAATTTTTGAGGTATGTGGGTAGAGCGAGATTTGAATGGATGACTGGGTTGTTTAATGCTATTTTCAAGACGAAGAGGATGCCAGATGAGTGGAGATGTAGTTTGATGATTCTTCTGTTTAAGAACAAAGGTGATATCCAAAATTGTAACAATTATAGGGGCATTAAGTTGTTAAGTCATACCATGAAAGTTTGGGAGAGGGTGGTGGAAGAGAGGGTGAGGAGGGCGGTATCTATTTCTGAAAATCAGTTTGGATTCATGCTGGGACGTTCTACTATGAAAGCTAGCTACCTGGTAAGGAGGTTGGTGGAACAACATAGTGAGAGGAAGAGGGATTTGCACATGGTGTTTATTGACCTAGAAGAGGCGTATGACAGGATCCCTAGGGATGTTCTTTGGCGATGCCTGGAAGTGAAAGGGGTGCCGGTAGCATACATTGAATCGATAAAGGATATGTATGATGGAGCTAAGACTCAGGCCAGGACTGCGGGAGGTGACACCGAGCTTTTTCCGGTGATTATGGGGTTACACCAAGGATCTGTGCTTAGCCCTTTCTTATTTGCTCTGACGATGGATGCCTTGACACACCATATTCAAGGGGAGGTGCCATGGTGTATGTTGTTCGCTAATGATATAGTTTTGATCGATGAGTCGCGTAGCAGTGTTAATGAGAGATTGGAGGTGTGGAGGAAGGCTCTAGAGTCCAAAGTTTCAAGTTGAGTAGGACCAAGACGGAATATTTGGAGTGTAAGTTTAGCGGTATGTCGGGGGAAGCGGACGAGGTGGTGAGGCTCGACTCACAAGTCATCCCCAAGAGAGAAAGTTTCAAGTACCTAGGGTCTATTATCCAGGGAGATTAGGAGATCGACGAGGATGTCACGCACCACATTGGGTGGGGTGGATGAAATGGCGGCTAGCATCTGGAGTCCTGTGTGACAAGAGGGTACCATTGAAACTCAAAGGTAAGTTCTACAGAGCGGTGGTTAGGCCGGCTATGTTATATGGGGCTGAGTGTTGGCCAGTTAAGAATTCACATATCTAGAAGATGAAAGTAGCTGAGATGATGATGTTGAGTTGGTTGTGCGGGCATATCAAACTGGACAAGATAAGGAATGAAGTTATAAGGGAGAAGGTGGGCGTTGCTCCCGTGGACGACAAGATGCGGGAAGTGAGGCTTAGGTGGTTTGGACACATGCGGAGGAAAACCATAGATTTCCCGGTTAGGAGGTGTGAGCGGTTGGCTTTGGCAAGTACGAGAAGAGGTAGAGGGCGGCCTAAAAAGAATTGGGGTGAGGTGATCAGGCAAGACATGGCGTGACTCGAGATTTCCGAGGACATGGCTCTTGATAGGAAAGCGTGCAGGTCGAGCATTAGGGTTTTAGGCTAGGGGGTAGTTCATAGTTTTTCCCTCTTTGTACCGGGTAGTCTGATAAAGTTTTGCCTATGTCTGGTAGCGGTATATGTTATATTAACACTATTTTGTTATTTTGCATATGATTATATTATTGCACTCCATTTCACTTATTTGGTCTATTTTAAGATATTATTATCACTTCTCTTGCTTCTTTTGTTGTTACCTATCTCTTCTTTCGTTTCTTTTCTGAAATTATTATCTCTTCTGTTGAGCCGAGTGTCTCCCGAAAACAGCCTCTCTACCCTTCCGGGGTAGGGGTTAGGTATGCATACATCCTATCCTCCCAGACCCCACTAGTGGGATTTTACTGGGTATGTTGTTGTTGTTGTTAGTTTGTGATAAAATGGTAAAATACAATTCTTACATTATTAGTGATATTAGAAGCTTAAAGGAATAGTTTGGAAGAAAGGAGGGACAAAATTAGATGTCAACAGCCGTCCCTCTTTGACTTGAAACAAGTTTTCGGGCAAAGAATATTGACTTAGTAGCCAATTTTGTCCCGAACATCAAGGTTGGAATGGGACAAAGGGGACGTGAAAAATATGATTGCGGCCGAACTCTGATTTCGAGTTGCCTACATATCTCGGGTTTCACGAGAATCAGGCAATATGTAGTTCAAGACTTATGGTACCCTCTCACTTAAAGATGCGTATCTTAAAATACTGCCCCCGTGTTAAATAATAGAAACACTAGATATCATGATTGAAAGAAAGATGTTTGAAAATTATCAATTTTGCAAGTCTGGCTGAGCGGAGTCCGAAAGTAGACCACTAAATTTTGTTGGTGAGTCTGATTTTCTTCCCAACAAATTGCTCCAATTTACTGCTTAGATAGGATTCCACATTGCGCTATACATGCATAAGGGATGTAGTTCCTGCCAAGTTTAGGACAAAGTTGTTATCAAATATATTAAAGAAGAAAATATTAATGATGCCTTATAACCGAGACCGTGAAAACAAAGCATTGATGTTTTTATCCAATGCAGTATTTTCTTCTGATCATAACCGGTAGCCTCGACTGTGAATCTTGTAAAGTCTAATACACTAAGTAGAAGTGATAGTAAGAAAATACATGAATATAAATTTTTGTATTCATTGCAAGGATTTCACGAAATTAAAAGGGAGTGCATGCAGTGCTTAATAGCATTTGCGAAAAATAAAACTTAGCGATACATCTTATTCAAGGCGGGAAATACTAAATATTCAATTGAAGGCAAATGAGTCTAAATGTTTAATTAACAAGAAAATGTGCTTAAATAAGCTACTAAAGGCGGATGAGCCTAAATGTTCTATTGAAGGCGTATGATCCTAAATACATAATCAAAGGCATGTCATGTCTAAATGTCCTATTGAAGGCGAACAAGCCTAAATATCATATTAAAGGCAAGTATGCTTAAATATCCAATTAAAGGCGGATAAGCCTAAATAAAATTAAAGGCAAATGAGCCTAAATATTTAAAGTCAAAATGTAACGACCCGACTGGTCGTTTTGTTTTCTAGAATACCGTTTCCCTAAATAAGACTTTCTATACTTGCTTTTACTAATTTATAACTTGCGGGGATTGTTGGTTCGGGATTTAGAAGAGTTTGGGTTGAAATCAGAACACTTGGTTCCTTAAAGTTGACTTAAAAGGCCAAGTTTGATTTTGGTTAACATTTTGAGTAAATGACCTCAGAATCGGGATTTGAAGGTTCCAACAGGTTTGTATGATAATTTCGGACTTGGGCGTATGTCCGAATCGGATTTTGGATGACCCAGGAGCGTTTTGGCACCTAATAGTAAAAGTTGATTCCTTAAGGATTTTGAAGTTCTTTAAATTTGGTTGGGAGCGGGTTGTTTTTGATATCAAGGTCCGAACGGAATTCCAAGATTGGAAATAGTTCCATAATGTCATTTAAGACATGCACGCAAAATTTGGTATCATTCCGAGTGGTATAAGTATGTTTCGGCATATTGGAAGTAGATTGAAGAACTTGAAGTTCATAAATTTGATTCAATTGGTTTTAGGGTATGATTCTTAGTTTTAATGTTGTTTCGGACGTTCCTAGGGTTCGAGCGCATCCGTTTTATAATTCTAAACTTGTCGATAAGTTTGGGCGGGACCCCGGGAGCCCCGAGCGTCAATCGGACGAGGCTCGAACTAAGTTGAAAATTTGAGAAGGAGCTGAAGCTCCAGTTGCTATCATAACCGCACCTACGGTTGGCCAGCCGCAAGTGCAAGCCCGCAAATGCGGCTGAAGCATCGCAGATTCGGCCCAAGGGGAGGAGCCCAGGTTCCGAAGATGCGGCTCCTCTTCCACAGAAGCGGAATCGCATAAGTGGTCACCCTTCCGCAGATACGGCCCCAACTCGCCCGTCCCATTTCCGCAGAAGTGGACAACCGCCCGTAGAAGCGAGACCGTGGATACGGTTAATGCACCGTAGGTGCGGAAATCGCTGAAGGCAGTGACCTTCATTTAATACGGGAGTTTGTCATTTTTGAATTATTTCACTCCATCCTTGGGCGATTTGGGAGCTTCAAAAGGGGAGATTTCAACCTAACTTTGTGAGGTAACTGATTTCTACTTATTGTGAGTTTAATACATAGTTTATGGGTGGATTACAACATGTAAATTAGTGAAAATTATGAGTTTGGAGTAAAACCTAGTGTTTTGATATAAATGAGATTTATCCACGAAATTTATTATGGAATGTAGTAGAAATCATATATTCTTGATCCTAAGGTTATGGGTACCAAATTTCTTCAAAAATTTCAGGGATGCAAGCCAGCTGGCGCTCCATCCAGATTCTATGCTTTTCCGGCCAGAGCAGATGCATTGGCCTTAGATGCCGTTATCACAGGTATTATTTCCGTCTGCGGTAGGGATGCTTCAGTACTATTTGATCCAGGTTCTACCTATTCATATGTGTCATCTCTATTTGATCATTTCCTGGATATTCCTCGTGAGTCTTTGGGTACTTCTGTTCACGTGTCCACTTCTGTGGGTGATCTTGTGGTTGTGGATCGAGTCTATCGGTCTTGTGTGGTCACATTCTATGGTTTTGAGACTTGATCAGATCTCTTATTGCTTAATATGACCGACTTTGAGGTCATCCTAGGCACGGACCGGTTATTCCCATATCACGCCTGTTGCTCCCCTTTATTCCCTTTTCGACTTAGAAGTCCGGGTTTCAACATTATGGGGGGAAATAACTCGTTTCCTTTTAGGAATTGGGTGTTTGAAGAATCGCCACCTAACGGATTATGGTGCGTTAGGGCACCTTAGAGCAATTAACTCATGGACTAGTTTGATTACTAGAGATCTAGGGTAAGGACTCGAAATAACCTTTAGGGGAAGGTGTTAGGCACCCCTTGCGGTCCACAACAGTGGGCCCCGACCGAACTTAAACTATGTGAATTAGTCATTTTAACAAATAAATAGTTTTAACATGTACTTGCAAGTAAAAGCATGTTTTTGACATTCTAAGGACATGTACGATCCAAGTAATGAAACAAGGGAAAAGGTTCGAACAAGTTGCACATATATAAAGAAAAGTAAATTTATTTAAACAACATGAGTTGGGAAAGATGGGTCCTAGGTTGGTTAGCCTATAGGATCATACCCACACAATGCCCGGTAAACACTCCTCAATGAGGGGCTACACATGACATTAGCACGTGGTCATCATATTCTTTACTACCCGATCCCCTCCCATGGTCATAGCCTAAAGCGTTCTAGCAACCTTGAAAGATATCCTATGCGTACACTACCCGTCCCTTCCTTGTGGCCCTGGAGGTATTTAGGACCTCTAATTTAGGTAGTTCTAGACCATCATAAGGTATTTAAAGGAGAACAGTCTAAGAGTCAATCAAAACAATTAGGACTATATTTAAAGAAGGAATAATTAAAGGCTCACATTTTTACCTCCGCAAACAGAACAACTAAGTGCACGTTTCAAACAATGGTTTTAGGCATTAAAAAAACATAAAACATGATATCTAGGTGAGCAGAAAGCATACAACATTGCATTAGAACCAGAGTGTCAAAGACCTTGCCTACTGATTTTTATAGCTGTTTGAATATGAGTAGTCATAGATAACAGGACACAGTTTTATCGTTTGCAAAATTTTAATCGCCCTACAAGCTTGCCTAGACATATAACAGTGATGTCCTATGAGCATGATATATATTATTGATTAAGAATGTAACTAAGCAGTAGATAGTTTTAGACGGCAGTTTGGATCCTATAGGTATGCTTTCTAGCAATATTATTTAGGCAGCATTGAAACTTATCAAAGAAGTGGACAAATTTGTTGATTAAACCA